TTATTCTACCTCTGACATCATAGATTTCTCTGTACATTTATCCTTAAAACCTGATGGATAAATATACTTGCTTTTCGGTCTAGTACAAGGGATGTCTTGTAAGTTTTGCATATAGAAACGTATTAGGCCGCGCGGATCGAACGTCAGTACTGAATCTTAACCTCACTCTTTAGTAAACTTAGATTCAAAGTTTCACAACAATACGTGTTCTCACTACAGTGAATTTTTAAGTGTCACCAAGTCATCAGAAAAATGGAACTCAACCGAGAACATTTTCGCGCCATAATTTATTACAACCTTCAGAGACAATTATCGCAACAGGAATACCTTGCTGAGTTACTGTCTGTTTTTGGCAACGAAGCGCCACATCAGTCGACAATTTCTCGTTGGTATGGACAATTCAAACGTGAACGTCTTAGCGACGATCCCAGGGTGGGTGCACCAAAAACGACAGTCACTCAGGAAAACGTCATCATTGAAGATAGACATGTGACATATCGCGAGATTTAGGCGTCCTTGAAGATCTCAAAGACCTCAATTCAAAAAATTTTACATGAAGAATTAGGAGTAAGAAAATTAGTTTCTCGTTGGACACCCCTGTTGACTGAAGACCAGAAAGCAGCCGGGGTTAATTGGTGTCAAAAAACGTTTGACCGTTTGAATTCCGGAAACTCAAAAAATGTGTACAGCATTGTTAGTGGTGATCAATCGTGGATTTACTGTTATGAACCAGAAAATAAACGACAGTCGGCTGTTTGGGTGTTCCAAGTTAAAGAAAAGCCAACAAAAGTCATCCGTTCTCGAAGTGTTTCGAAAAAGATGGTCGCGACATTTGTGCCAAAAGCGGGTCATATTGCAACAATTCCTCTTAATGAGCAAAGAACTGTTACTGCGGATTGGTATACCACCATTTGTTTGCCTATATACCGAGCTTCGAAAAACCAACCCCGAAAGAAGTATCATCCTCCACCAAGACAATGCAAGCTCGCACACAGCCCAAAAAACAAGGCAGTATTTAACGGAAGAAAACGTGGAATTATTGGACCATCCTCCATATAGTCCCGATCTTAGGCCCGTATTGTCAGTCGTCCCTACAATTGTAGGGCGCCTTTATGGCCTCCTTGATTGTCATAGTTTTCTACTTCTCCATGTCAGCGCTATATTTTGAGGTTATGTCACATCTATTTGCATCAAATTGTGCTTGCTTTTGAGTTATATCATGTTTTATCAGCCTGAAATTTCCTACAATTTGAAAAGAAAACATATCTTCACAATAGGAGAGCGCTGACGCTGACACGGGACAAGTGTAATCTAGAAACTTCTGAAGGAAAGAAAGGAGTATGACAATCAAGGAGGCCATAAACGCGCCCTACAATTGTAGGGACGACTGACGATACGGGTCTAAGTCCTAACGATTTCTTTACTTTCCCGAAAATTAAAAACAGAGTGCGTGGTCAAAGGTTCCAGACACCAGAAGAAGCAGTTGACGCATTCAAAAATGCCGTTTTGGATCTGCCAGCAAACGAGTAGAATAAGTGCTTCGAAAATTGGTTCGAGCGCATGCAGATGTGTATTAATCTTCGTAGAGAATACTTCGAAAAACAATAAAGTCATTTAAAACTACTTACCGTGTTGATTTATTTCCATATGCAAAACTTAAAAGACATCCCTCGTAAATTCGTGTGCGTCCCAGTGGACTACCGATGCTGGACTGCCGTCGATGTGGACCGTCGATCGTCATCCACGCCTCCACTCGATCATAGTTTCGATCATGTGCGTCCGGTGGAATTTTTGTTTTCAGGGGAACAAGAGACAACTTTGAGTCAAAGCGTACCAGCCCCCAACACTTTTTGGAGGCAAATTGTAGAACCTAATTTTTCTTGTATGAGCCCGTTTGACTGACTTGAGCCATTCAAATTTTTGTTATACATATTCGTAGGTAACTTTTTTCTCAGAGGAGCTTGCGCTGAACATAATCATTTATGAACTGTACAGACTCTATCTGCTTGACGCTAGCAGCAATCAGTTTTTGCGTTAACCAAAGAAGCTACTGAAATTCTGAGCAGTTGAGGCAGCCTACTCGAACCTATTCTTACTGTTACAGAATAGTTATTTCCTACTAAATCTGCATCTAACATCAGCCTCACAAGTCCATTAAGTGTGTTCATTATTTACCGAAAATGTCACCCCCGAGGTACCATAACCATTATTCCCTAGCCCCAAGCAGGTTGTTGACAGCATGGCAAACACTTTTTCTTCATATTACCGCCACTAGCGGCCACCCTGCCATTTACCGATATCTCGCACATTCCACGTAAACGTCGCCTTTGGGAAATTTATTCCTCCTGTTTTTCTTTGACATTTTCCATCCAGGTTATTCCAGACCAGCGTGCACCGTATTTCTTATCTGGTTGCATGTTATAAATAGGTTCTTTTGTTGCCATAGGGCCAGTATTGATTGAGAAATGGAAAGCTTTTCAGTTCAAAAAAAATTTAACCGGGCTGTATGGTGTATACTGATTAGATCTCTTTCATTGAGCCTTCTGTATACCCCTAATCGGCGGATATGAACGAATATTTGTGACAAAACAATGTACGACATTGACTTCTGTGCAATTATTGGACTAAGCAAATAGAAATACAACTTTTTTGTTGCTTCATTTTTTTTCGTATCCTGCTTACCTTTAGAGAAATAAATAATAGTTTAAAACTAAAAAAGCGCTTTTATAGCTAATCAAACTAAAAAGTAGAAAATAACTTTTAGTTACAAAGAGATTATATTACAGTAGTAGATGGTGGAACAATCAGTCATAATTAGGTTTTTTATGTCCTGTATTTATCGAGGTTTCATCCAAGTAATAAAGCTGGCAACGGACGGTGTGCGATAATATAATATACAGGGTGGCGCATCGAAAACGAAACAGACGTATTTACTGGCAGCTGAGTTTTTTTTTTTGAAAAACGCTCAGACCCCTCATTCTTGTTTCCGAGGGGGACACAAGTTTGGCAAAAAATCACGATAGCACGTGCAGCCCCCTAAGCGGGGGTGACACCACCCCCAAAATCTTAAATCGAAAGAGGGGTCGAGTGATACCTTATTTGAAAGGTCTTTCAATTCCCTTTATAACGATATAAAATTAATGTACTTCAGTTCAGCAGTTTTGAAGATTTATTGATTTAAAGCTTAAATAAAACTAATACATCACCATTAGTGGAGATCAATACATTTGGCAGCAAAGTAATTTAAAAATGAAGAATGAATTGACCCGTTAGGCAAGAAAATGTTGAAAATGGCCACCATGACTCTCCATGCTCAAAACGTTGCCGCACATTTTGCAATATTTGAGGAGTAATTTGAAGGCACTCATTCACAATTCTTTGTCGCAGGTATTCTAATGATGTTGGCTGAGTAGCATAGATTTTGCTTTTTAAATGACCCCACATACAGAAATCCAAAGGTGATAAATCTGGCGATCTTGGGGGCCATTCAGTGGCACCTCTTCTACCAATCCATCGATCTGGAAACATCTGATCTAAATATTGTCGAACACGTAATGCGTAATGTGGTGGGGGGGGCACCATTCTGTCGGAACATCAACCTATTCGCAATGTACCGCCGATCATTCTGATTTTCAATTATGGCTGTTAATGCAGGATCTGTGGCGTCTTCCAGTAATTCCAAATACATTTCACCGGTCAAATTTCCAGGTGAGAAAAAACGACCAACTAAATGATTGCCAAAAGTACCAGCCCAAACATTTAATTTTTGTGGCTGCTGTGTATGAACCTCATGACAAATTCTGGGATTAGAATCGGACCAATATCGGCAGTTATGCGATTTACTACGCCATTTAAGAAAAAGGAACATTCGTCGGAAAAGCAAGTGTTGAATAGAAAATGTTCATCGTTTATAATTCGTTCACTCATATCTTCACAAACTTGTAATCGCCGATCAACATTATCTTCACTAAGTTCTTGTACCAAGTGAATTTTATACGGATGAAAACTGTAGGCCTTTAGAATCTGTTGGACAGTACGTCGACTAACACCAGACATAGTCTCCAATTTAAGGGTACTTAACTTGCCCTAAAACCCCCACTTCTATTGCTTCGTTCCTTATGGTATTTTCAGTGTTGCGTTTTTTATTGGCGACTGACCCAGTTTTCCGAAATTTAGCTACAAGTTCTAGGACATATTTTCGATGCACGTTACTGTACTCATGTCGCTCATTATATATTTCTGCTGTTCTATTAGCGCACTGATTATTTCCGAAAAATATTTCGATAATTTCAACTCTTGCTGCTGTGGAATATACCATGGTTAATTTATGTAATAAAGCGTTACAAGTTATTTTAGCAACAAAGTTTGGTCAAATCAATCGCAAACTATGTACTAAATTCCTATCTAAAATAAGTACGAGATATTTCCTTATCTTTCTTCAAGAAATAACTTTTTAGCCACAAAAACACGCTCCAATAGCTATTTTCAACAACAAAATGATAAACAAACCATGGGCGTAGTGAAGAAAAGCATTTACTTATTAAGTAAATTCTTCTAGTCAAATTTCTTCTGAAAGTAGTACAAACTAATCTGATGTACCTATTAAAGTCTACTTTAAGCTTTAAATCAATAAATCTTCAAAACTACTGAACTGAAGCTCATGTGTTTTATATCATTATAAAGGGAATTGAAAGACCTTTAATTTAAGGTATCACTCGACCCCCCTTTCCATTTAAGGTTTTTGCGGGTGGTGTAACCACCGCTTAGGGGGCTGCACATGCTAACGTGATTTTTTGCCAAACTTGTGTCCCCCTCGAAAACAAAATCGACGGGTATGAACGTTTTTCAAAAAAAAAAACTGAGCTGTCAGTAAATGCGTCTGATTCGTTTTCGATGCGCCACCCTGTATATTATATCCTGCATATTACATAAATATCGCTCCATGTGTAAACCTATTGAGACGCCACGCACAGACGCTATAAGATATATTTACATCCCAGCGATATATTACGTATCTGTCGGGATATGCTTGGCGAGCGATATTCTGCGCTATATCGCGCTGTATCTATTCCCCTCTTGCGTCGAAAATACCCACGAACCGCTCTTGCCAGCAGCCGGTTTGGTGCGATGTTGCTATTTTATTATTTGTTCTTGCACTTCGGTCGCAATAGACAAAATGCAGTATTTTATTAAAAGTGTAAGAATTCATCCATGTTTATGGAAGGTAGACTCGAACGAGTCTGAAAATAATGAGATTAAAGAAGCAGCTTGTAGGAGTATCATCGCTGATTGCGATATATCCGACGGTATGTACTTGTAAGTATTTATTTTTATATACATAGGTAGTTTGAAAGCTAATAGTAGGGAAACTCAAGAGGGGATTTTAGGATTTACTCAAGCGCGGCAGATTAACTAATGGGGGATGCTTTGTTAATTATACTAAGTGACATATAAATCCGAACACCTAGTTTAAATGGTTTTATTTTAATAAAATTTTGTATAAGTACTTAATGAAGTATAATAAGTAAATGATAAACATTTCAAAATGATTGCACTGCTTTAAAGCCCTTTGACCTTTAATAGTATGTGGATGCACCCTGATGTGCTACGCATTCTCCAACGCGCCTAGGCATGCTTCTGATCAGTTGGTCAATGACCTCCTGTGGTATCTCATTCCAGGCAACCACCAACTCCTCTCGAAGTGCTTCTAGAGTCTGAGGAGGACGTTGCAAATTGAGCAATCTCCTACCCATCATATCCCACACGTGCTCAATTGGGGATAAGTCGGGAGATCTTGGTGGCCATGGTAACAATGTGACATCATTATGTTGAAAGAAGTCTATTGTGACTCTTGCAACATGTGGTCGGGCATTATCTTGTTGGAAAGTGGGATCTGCCAGGGTGTCAAGATAGGGTAAAAGATGGGGTTCTAGAACTTCGTGGATATAACGCTGCGCGTTCATGTTACCTCTGATGAAGATTAAAGGTGACCTGGAACCATAAGCTATAGCACCCCAAACCATAACTCCAACAGTGTGATGAACATGTCTTTCAACAAAAAACTGTGGATTCCTCCTTTCACCACGTCGCCTTCTAACCCTGGCACGACCATCGTTCATGCCTAAACAAAATCGAGACTCGTCACTAAAGACAATACTGTTCCATTCCTGATCCCAGAGTGACCGTTGTCTGTACCACTCAAGGCGATTACGTCGGTGTTCTCGAGTTAAAGGACCCTGTGTGGCCGGTATGAAAACAAGCCAAAGCTTCTCATTCGTCGGTAAACACTTCGCATGCCAATAGGTCTTCCGTGTTCTGCAAACCATTCATTTGCAATGGACCTGGTAGTGGAGAAACGGTCCCTTAAGGCCAATAATCTTAGGCGGCGATCTTCACGGTCTGTTGTTCTACGGCGGCGTCCAGTGCCCCTTGCTCTTTGCGTACGGCCTTCTCGAAGCCTTGCCTGACAACACCTAACCACAGTGTCTACACTTCTTTGCACTCTAACTGCAATTGCCTGAAAAGAAAGTCCAGCTTCCCGAAGTCAAACTATACGGCCCCTATCAAACTCACTAAGTTGACGAAATCATACATGTCTCCGTACTCTAGGCATCGTAACCGATCGTAAAGGATGTCAAGAACCAAAATCCGCCAACGTTGATTCTTTACTGCGGCTGAAATATTCATTTCTAGAGCGTTAGTGAATTAAAAAAAAACAGTATAAAAACCGGAATGTCCAACTGTGGACCGATGAATCGAAGTGTGATAAGAACGGGATCACTAACTACCATAATGCTCATTACTGGCATGATAAAGAAGCTTTAAACCTCCGAAAAATAAGACCGACGGGGTCTCAGAGCCATTTTTCAGCCAATGTGTGGATGGGCATCATTGATGGATATTTAATTGGACCTCATTTTCTGCCTGCCAATTTAAATGGAGAAGTGTATGAAGAGTTCTTGAAAAATCACTTGTTTCCATTAATGGAAGACGGCCCATTGGCGACGAGACAAAATATGCGCTTCCAACCCGACGGCTGTCCCGCACACTACAGTAGATTAGTACGGGCGTATTTAGACCCTCCATTGCATGGCCAGCAAGAAGCCCAGATCTCACACCGATGGATTACTATGTGTGGGGACATATGAAAAGCCCGGTGTATGATGTTTCGCCCGTACCAACGCGCGATGAACTAATTACAAGGATAATCAGTGCAGCTAACCAAATAACAAGCCGCTTAACAACTAGAGTTACCAAAAGTGAATTACGTAAGAGAATTCGGGCGTGTATTCGTAACAGGAGATTACAATTTGAGCAGAATCTGTAAAATACTAAAGGAAATGTAATGAAATAAAACTGTAATTAAAATAAAAGCCTTTTATTTATCCTACGTAATTATCGTTCGTACAACTTTACTCATCTTTTTTTAATTTTATGTCTTTGTACTTGTTAGATAGAGATATTATTTACATAATTTGCACATTTCATTACTAGGAGATTTTTTACAGAAAATTGCATTTTTTATCGAATAAGTTATTCAAAAGCGTAATTTTAAAATTTTGTGAGTTTTCAACATTTTATTACTTATTATGAACTATTGGAATGTTTGCTATACGACGATAACAAAAAACTCAAAATCAAACATGTAGTTTTTTTGTATTTCAAATTTAACCGTCTGAAATCGGAATAATAAATAAAAAAAATAAAATTCAAATAACTCAAAAACGGTTAACTTCTGGATAGGATATTATAGGATAAAATCGGTTGCTTTTGACCTAATCTACTCGTATCAGCCCTTAACAGGAATACGTGACCTTATAAGTCACCCTGTATATTATAGCGTATTGTACGACTATAATATATATTATATTATCGCCCACCGTCCGTTGCCAGCTTAAATCTTTCTGCTCTGGTGGCGGTAATTCTTTATTGACATTAAATAATTCCTTCTCAATAAAAAATCTCTTAGCTGTCCATCAAAATAATATTTCTGCCCGGATTTCTATACTCAAAATGAAGTTCTTTGAGTGAACTATAGAATGTGGTCCTTTTGAAAGTAGGTAGGTCTTCATCACTATTAACCTCCTGTAATACTTTGTCTATGGTGGGAAGTTCCTGCCTTTCAGAAAATTGATGGACTTCGCGACTGATGGCATCCCGATCAAAGTTATCAACCGTACCAAACAGCTTCGTGTAATGCAGCCTCTAGTGTGGTGGAGACAATTTTTTATTTTTTTTTATATATTCTTTAACAATGTTGAAAATTGTCTTAGGACATAAACCTGTTTTGTCTTTCAATAGCATGCATTTCCATTTAAGGATGCTCTAAAATTTAGCTCTTATAAACGTTAAGGACAATTTATTTTCTCTGAATATTCAAATGTCCTTTCTTGTCACGTTCTCGGGGAGGAGACATCAAGAAGCATGGCTGAAGGAAGCATTGGGAGAAATATTCTCAGTTTCATCTGCTGTATCCGTACACGACATGCTAATGAATAAACACACGCTGTCTATGCATGGAATATGAACAGCAACTGCCGGCGTCGGCGTACCGGCGATACCCCGAACCCGAGTTCTATCCTGCTCAAAGTTTTTTGGCTGAATGACCAGTAGCTATTTCGACGCTTAGGCGGCTGCCGCGCCGCATTTTTGTTGTGCCATGGTGTAAATGGACCCCCTTCCCACTTCAGTTGACCCAACTATTGAAATCTTTTTTTCTTATCATACACAAATAATAAAAATGTAGCAGGGTGTTATAGGTTTAAAATATTAACAATGAATATTTTGATAATATATAGTAGAAAACACCAACTTTATCACTCCCTAATCAAATTTGCAGCATAAAAATAACACAGGTTGCAATTACAGCATATCAATCTATTTTCATTTCAATGCAAAATAAGTCTATAAAACGCATAGGTGGCTGTGAAAAATAAAAGCCATGACAATTATTCTTATTAATCACAGCTGTCAGAATACGTTTAAAATAGTTTTTGGTAGTTAAGGTTTTCAAAATGGGTAGAGGAAAGGTTATTAGTGAGAAAATTCGGTTACTGATAATTAAATTTTTTGATTCTGGGAAATCAAACTCAGAAATTGCAACTTTGTTAGACTTATCTCGGTACAGTGTGAGAAATATTGTTAGAAGATATAACGTAACTGGTTCAGTTACTAATAAGCCACGATAAGTGAAAAAAAGTAATATCACAAATGCCGACCGAAGAGCATTAAGAAGAATAATTGTGAAAAGTGTAAAAGTGTAAAAACCCTAAAGTTGCACAACTTGTTTATAGGCCAAAGAAAAGCCACTATTAAGTCCACTGCAAAAGAAAAATCGGCTTAGATGGGCTAAAGAACATAGACAATGGACACCTCAACAATGGTGTGCAATATAATGGAGTGATGAGGCCCGATTCGAAGTTTGTGTTGGTGACAGTCGCAGTAGAGTTATTCGCAAAAAAAAATGAAGCATTCCATGTTGACTGTCTGAAGAGAAAAGTGAAATGTCCAGCATCCATTATGGTCTGGGGCAGCATGTCATTAAAAGGAGTAGGAAAACTTCATTTTATTGATAGAAATGTGGATACAAACAAATATTTCGCAATTTTAGAAGAAAGCGCTTTTACCAGTGATGGAAGAATGTTTGACATCTGGCCAAGATTTTGTGTTTCAGCAAGATGGTGCAGCGTGCCATACCTCAGAAAAGGCTATAAAATGGATGGAAGAAAATAATGTACCACTTTTGAAATGGGTTTCTAGCAGTCCAGATCTGTCACCTATTGAAACTTTGTGTCACGAGATGAAAAAGGTTCTACGACAACATCCTGCTCGTACAATCACCGAACTGAGACAAAAGCTTTAAGAAATATGGGATTGCTTTACACCAAATTTTTGACAAAACTTGATTAACACCATGCCCCATAGAGTTTCAGCCGTAATAAAAAATAAAGGTGATGTTACCCAATGGTAATCTTTCAATTGTTGCTTTGTTAACTTCGCGCATTTATTCGCACATTGTTTATTTGTTTATTTTTTACGACTAGAGCTACAATGTTTTTGAGAAAATAAATTGTTTTAGAAGTAAATAGTTTCGTCATGTTTAGTTTATAAAGGCATATTTTGGTACAAATCTTCAAGTGGGCCAACTGAAGTGGGAAGGGTCTCGTACAAATAGGGTATAATGCGGTTTCGTCGGCATAGAGTTGGACCTCACAGTCGCTGGGATGGGAGACGTCGTAAATGAGAATTTGATGTAAGAGTGGTCCTAAGACCGATCCCTGCGGAACTCCGACCCGAATACGCCGTCTTGTAGAAAATACATTGTCAATTTTGATTTTGAATTTCCTTCCTTCCACGAAGT